TTCCATTTTCTTGTACCAAGTAGAAAAGAGATACCTCTGACCATACAACCCAAAGAAAACCACCTGGTTCCTAGTTCTCAGCCTCCAAAAGAAGGGCCATTCCTCCTTGTTTGGTGTTTGGAATGACCTTTTCAAAAAGTGGAGAAGAAAAACACCCAAGGGAGTTTCCTGGAGCCCAGGCAGTCTTGATAAAAGTAGATGAAAGAGAGACGAACATCTTTCTCTTTTTCCTGAAAAGAGGGGGAAGAAGTTGTGGGCCTAGAAAACTGAAGGACATGCCCAGGAGAAGATAGGAAGTAGAAAAGCTTGTGACATGTGTCATGGTGTGTAGAGTTTAGGTTCAGCCTACCTAGGTGCATAGACACCCATCATGATTCCTTTTCAGGCTGAGTGACATTGTGCAGAAAAGGAGTAGAGGCCCCAGAGCACCTGCCTGGTGGGATTTGAGCAACAGTAAGTTGGCTTGGAAGGAACCCTCTAGGTTAGCGCTCCTAACTTACATAGAATAGCCTGAGCAGGCTTGGGTTGGAGTTGGGCGGCTGTAACAATTTGAATAAATAAATGTATAAATAAAAGTAGGTGTGGGTGCCTCTCTGGCATACTGGCCCGAATGGGGAATTCGCGGGGAATGCTGCATGTGGTAGTGGTCCAACTAAGGTTGGTGACCTAGCTAGCCCTTCCCTATATTACTAAAAGGTGTTATGTGAAATGGTGCAGGTAAGCAATGAGGAGGAGGAGTGGAGGGTCCTGTGGGGTTTTCTTGAGCAGGACAGGCTTTTTAAGCCTGGCGACTGCAGGAACGTCTCCAGCAACAGGGGTCAAAACCGGGTAATACCGATTTAGACAAAACTCTGATCTGCCTTGTATCACCAGGACTGCGGAACGCGTGCTGTTTTCTTTCTTCTGGGCTTATGTGGGAAGCCACCATTTAAGATGCTTTTGGAGGTGTTATCTGCTGAACCACTGTATGTATGGCTTATGTCTGGGCAATTTTAAGGTTTTGCAGGCATTATTTTATTAGGGTATTGGAAATTGGGGATTTACAGGCAGTAGCATATCAGCCAGATGAGTGACTGATAGCAACCTTTGTATGCTGCCAGTTCTGTAGATTACGCATGGCTCACTGCCATAAAGACGTAACAAAGAATCCATGATTACATTGCACAGCACTCAAGTGGGGCTGTTTTCAACAAAAACCCTACGGAAAAGCAGTTTTCACAGCCTTCCTGGATATTAACAGGATAGAGGCCATCCTGTCAGCCCTGTGAGGTTGACCAGATCAGGAAGACTAGAACTCTACTTTTGAGATAGACAATAGTAACAGAATCTTGCAAGTTGGGGGCAGCCAGCCTGAGCCTCTTCCTAATACTGCCTCCTGTCCCAGAACTCTAGGAATGCTTCTGCCCTTGTTGTTTCTGTAACAGCTTCTGAATCTTCCTTTCAAGGCCATTTCCATGGCTCTCGATAATCCTAACCTCAGCAGGCAAGCTTTTCCAGAGTGAGGGGGCTGCAACTGAGAAGGACACCCACCTCCCACCTCCCTTGTCACTAGCAGGCTGGAAACCTGCAGTGCTCCCTTTGGGCTAGCATGGATTGGGTGGCAAATTCCACTGGAGAAGATGGAAGGAAGCAAGGATCCAAATCATTAACGGCTTTGTAGGTGAGAACCGGCACCTCGAATTGGGCCCACAAGCTTGCTGGCGAACAGTGCAGTTCCCACACTTCAAAGCCAGTTTCTGCTGATCCTCCAGGAGACAGCTGCAATCTGTAGCTCTGGGGGCATCTCCAAGGTCAGCCGCATGTAAAGTGAATTTCCATGGGCTAACCAGATGGTCAAAACATGAGTCTATATCATCAGAACCTTGTGGTCTAGGAAACACTGCAGCTGATGGACCAGCCAAAACTGGCTGAATCCAGGAGAGCTCTCCGGTTGCATGCCGTTCTCCTTCAAGAGAAATGCAACCCTGCCAGAATCCATTGATAGAACTTCCTTGCTGAAGGCCTCCACACAGGAAGTAGCTCCAGCTTGCTTGTAGGTTCCAGATGCCAAATCAAGATTACCACCACATCTGTTAAGCCCTTGGGGGAGATCTACAACTAGGTATCATACACCCCCCAAAGTAGCAGAAGATTCCACTTGGGTAATTTCTTTTGGCCCAGGTGACTTCTTTGTAGAACTACAGTATGGGCTGAAGGTAAGGACAGATTTTTGCAATTAAAAATTCCCAGGAGCTCCCAGAACTATATCCTTCAGCATAATGATTTCTTCAGTGTAATAACTCGCAAGTAAGTTCTGAATTTGCCATTTAGTGGCAACAGACCGGTGTTGTATCCAGCCCAGTATAATACCTCTACATGCTGCTTTTCAGGTTCTGATCTTTTTCTGGCCCTTGGAACATTAGTTATTTATGGTGGCCATTAATCTCCAACATACTGTAATGCACATGCATCTCATGGGTTCGGAAGCCTGCTGACCTTACGCGAGTCAACGCTTTCTCTGCCCCTCTGTCCTGCTGCTCTTTCATTATAGCTAGTCTGGATGGTGCATCAGTCCTGAACTGGGAGGGAAAATGAAGTTTGTTGACCTCCCAACCATTTATAGAGGGATGAAAATGAAACCAAAGAAACAAGAAGAGAGATTCGTTTACCTGAATTTTTTATTCATATCTTGCTTCTTGTTCCTTTGACTGTCCCCAGAAGCAGCAATTTACAGTAGTTATAAAACTGCACCACTTGAAAATTAAAGCTGCAAAGGAAACAGGAATTAGAGAGAATAAGGATGAAGTTGAACTGGAGCAAAAGAAAACTCCTGGGGTTGGGGTTTTTTTTGTTTTTGTTTTTTTGATGTTTCAGATGAAAAAGAAGCAGAACAAAGCATCAATGTTGTCAGCTTGTGTCTTTTATCTCTTTAGCAGATTTTTCTCATGTAGGGCAGAGGCTGTACTTTGGGTTAGGTTATGAATCAGTAATGTTTTTCTAGAGCAGTGTTTCTCAATCTCAGCAACTTTAAGATGTGTAGGCTTCAAGTCCCAGAATTCCCCAGGCAGCATGCTGCTTGGGGAATTCTGGGACTTGAAGTTTACACATCTTAAAGTTGCTGAGATCGAGAAACACTGCTCTAGAAGCAGGCATGCTGTCTTTTAAATCATCATCATCATCATCATCTTCATCTCCCCTATCAAAGTCAGTTGTGAGACCTCATAGACAGATGCTCGCTCATCAAAATCAAAATAAATGCGCAGACATATTTTAGTTGTGCCTTGATCTGAGGAACTGTCTAGTAAGACCTGCTATCTGTTCCAAGGTACACCACCCCACCACCTCAATCTCCTTATAAAGTTAGGATCACTTGCAGACTTGCTTCTCTTGATGAAAAGTTGAACTCCATGGGGTAGGAATAACAGCCCTGGTCTCATCTGCAAACCCGCATTTCCTGGAATGAGATGGGTGACTGAGAACCCTGATTTTGTCTGGGCTATACAAACCTTGCTAAGCTTGGGTGAGTCTCTTTTCCTGCTCTTAGATGCACAGATTGCCCAAATAGCTGAAGTCATGGCATTCACCCCACCTTCATCCTACAATAGTAACTGTGATCAGAACCATATTCATGCCCAAAAGATGAGATGCTTGGAGAATAAGGTTGAAAAATGGAGGCTGGCCCTAATGAGTAGAAGAAAGAGATTACTGGTGAAGTAATTTATCCTGACAAGATGCCGTCTGGCAATGCATGTTGGATAGATATGTTTCTTTGGGAGTATCACAGACTTATGGTATTAGCACATAATCCCCATCTGGTATGGCATGCACTGGGTTTCCCTCTTACCAGTTCAAAGGTTGAGGACTTGTCTGCCCAAGACAGTGGCTCTTCTCATGCAAAAATTCAGCCCCTTTATAAGATCACGCAGTGATGCTTGTTTCTGTCTGCTAGCGTGGGTTACCCATGGCGGCTTGTGGGAGGACCACAGATGCCTTCCCCGCCACCCCAGAGTTTCAGCCCTCCAGAATTCCCCTCCTGCAACATGCAGATATGCAGCCCCCCCCCCCCCCCCTTTTTTTTATTTGTCTATGGCGGGTGTTTCTTTTGGTTTTTTTTTTTTTTTTTTTTTTTTTT